CCCCTGCCTCTCCCGCCTCCGCGGCGCCGACCCCGGCCCAGGCCGCTTTGTCCCGCCGCAGGCGCGGAGCCGCCGCGGCCCGACAAAGCTGCCTTTGTGCCCCGCGGCCTCCGCAGCACCCGCTGACGTCAGCCTCCGTGACAAGCCCGGCGGGCCCCGGCACGGACTACGGCGCCCCCTGGCGGCTGCGGAGGAGCTCGCCTCCGAGCCCCGCCCCATCGAGCCCTTCCCTTAGGCTCAGCTGCCTGCTGTCCAGCGCCCCCGCGCGCGGAACAAAGTCCAGGCGCCTTGCCTGGCGCTCAGAGCTCACCCAACGGGCACCCTCCTACCCCCACCGCCTTGTCATCTGCCTTGTCTTCTCGAGCGACGTGCGTGCACTTCCCATAGCCTCACAGAAGCTTCCGCATGTTTATGGCCCTAGCCCATGGCTACCTGCCTGTCCCTCCCCGCCCCACCCCCAGGTTTGGAGAGGGACCTACGGGACAGAGACCTTTCTGAACATGCCTCAGGCCCCTACTGTCCCCGACTTTCTGTTTAGTCAACCCCAAGAAGCCCAGCCCTGAGCAAGGGTCTGGGCAAACACCTCAGGTTGGGAGAAGGAAGGATGTGCAAGGGGCTTTGCAACTCATGGTCTCGGAGCCTTGGGCCTGGGAGGTCAGAAGTCACATCTTCCTTCTGCACTACTCACTGGACCCTTCTATTGCTCCCAATATAGAAGAATCCCTTAGAGGTGCAGCCCCGGAAGAAATCCGCCCTGCTGCACAGGGAAAGCTTGAAGACTGCCGCAAACCCAAGGCCACGGTGGGCCTGGGAGGAGAGGGGAGTGAGTACTGGTGCCAGTAAGTGAAATGACTACAGAGTGGGAACACTGAGGTGCTGTGTACTGGGCCTGAGGATGACCTGGAGGGCAGAGCACCTGGGGCCCTGCCACAAATGAGGTTTCAGGTTCAGGTCACTATCACCTTGGCACAGCTTAGTCTGGGTCTCCGGCCCTGGGATAGAAGAGTACTGAGCAGTACTTGGTAATTTTTCTTTCTACATTTTATTATTTCAAACCAGGTGAACAATTCCATAAAACATGTGAAAAAAGCAAGGAAGTGTTCAACGCTGAAGGACCCGGGCCTGGGGCAAGGGCACGAGGGGCATGGCCCTCAGCAGGCAGCAGCGGTTCCTAGGTTAGCGCTAAGGAGCTACATTTAGGTTAATGGAGCCAGGGCCCAGGGCCACTGGGACGGGGCCCTCAGTGATGTTGGCAGTTGTCTGGAACAGCCCTTGGAACCCAGTTCTGTGGAGGGCAGGGCAGATGTGCCGCCCGCACGGGGTAGGGGAGGGGCAGCCAGCAGAGGGATGGGTGTAAACACGCAGACACACTCAAGGCACGGAATCACTGGAAGGGGGCTGGGTGGGCGCTGGTCAGGATCTGACAGTTTTAAATAGTTTTTCTCTAAAAAGTTTTCTAGGTTTGCAGTTTTGTCTTTTTTTTTTTTCCTTTACTTTCATTTTTTTTTTTAAAAAGCTACGAGAATGAGCAGGTGGACTGTAGTCTCCAGGAATGGTGGCGTCTCACGCTTCTTGTGCTTTTTCCTTTGGGGCCTCCGAGCGGCTAGAGGGGTGGGATGGGCAGGAGGCTCCCTGTAAACATTTGGACTTGGGCTGGGTCAGGGGCTGGTGTTGAGCGAAGCCAGGGGTCTCAGGCTGGAGAAGTGAGTGCCCCTCCAGACACAGGCCTTGGGAGATTCAGCATGTGCTCCCCTCCCCCATCACAGAACAAGACAATGGTTAACACCAGAAGAGATGCCCAGGAAGGGGGTACCGCGGCCATTCCCGGCACCTAGGACAAGGGCCGGCTTCAAATAGGAGGGCCTGTGGCAGTTCCTCAACCCGAGTCTCTGGAGCTGAGGGAGGGAACAGGGGCGCCAAGAACAGAGAGAGGAAAGAGGGAAAAAGCAGCCGGGGAGAGGAGAGGAGCGGGCAGGCAGGGAGCGTGGTCCTCTGGCCCCCATCTTCCTCAGGAGCTGGAGGGAGCAGAGTCAGCGGTGGCCCTGGAGGTGGGGGACAGTCAGGGCATGGTCGGGAGGAAGCCAGAGTGTGCCTCTCCTCCCACCTCCCTAGACAATGACCCTCTCTTTCTTCTCATCCACCTGTTACCAGGGACACAGTGGCTGCCCAGGAGCCAGTGTCTGTTGCTGGGTTATATGAGGAAGGGGGGTCTGTAGCACTGGCAGAGTCCTCCCCATCTGCCCCAGGGCTAGTGGGGCCAGTGTCAGCCCAGGACCCTCAGCTAGGTCTGAAGGAAAGACCGCAGAGCCGAGTGCAGCTGGTCATGCTGAGTGGCAGATGGCTGCACCCTCTGTCATCTAGCCTCCTTCGGGCCAGGCCAGTGGCTTGGTGGATGACTAAGTTTTCTCCAAGGGAGGTCAGAACAGCCCTCTAATTTTCTCCCGGCACATGGCCAGATGTTTCTGCTGTCTGGATCACTAGCCAGCCTACCTGTGTGCCCTGACCTCAGTAGCCCACCTGACTTGCCACCCTGTGCTCCCAGGCAACCCCCCACCCAACCCAAGCCCTCCCGAGGCCCAACCCTGTCCCTTATCTGGGCTCAATGGCTCCACTTTGTTCCACCCCAGCTCCCTGCCAGCCTACCCACCCCACCACCGTCCCAGCTCACCATCCTGCCAGGCCCCGCCTCCTTAGAAGAGGCCGCAGTCCTTCAGGTTGTTCTTGATGATGACGTCGGTGACGGCATCGAACACAAACTGCACGTTCTTGGTGTCGGTGGCACAAGTGAAGTGCGTATAGATCTCCTTGGTGTCCTTGCGCTTGTTCAGGTCCTCAAACTTACTCTGGATGTAGCTGGCTGCCTCGTCATACTTGTTGGCCCCTGTGGGAGACAAAATGGTGAGGACTTGTGCCACCTGTACGGCAGGCAGGCCTGTCCCACATGAACGACAAGTTCCTGTGTGTGAACAGACAAGCATATAACATGTGCACACATGTGCAAAGGGTGACAGTGTATGTGAATGTACATGCATGTCTGAGTGTGTAAAGTGGGGCTCCTGATTGTGCACATGTAAGGGGTACAGGCCCTGTGTGCAGGCACAAGTACATAGGCCTAAGTGAGGCACCAGCTCCTGCCTGAGTGTCCCGCAGTTACCCTTCTGTCCAGCGGGGGGCGCCTGTGCACCACCTGGTCACCACCAGCTCCTCCCCAGAGGCCCAGTCCCCACACCTGTGTACTCAGGGAAGCAGATGGTCAGGGGGCTGTGTGTGATCTTCTCCTCAAACAGGTCCTTCTTGTTGAGGAAGAGGATGATGGACGTGTCTGTGAACCACTTGTTGTTGCAGATACTGTCAAACAGCTTCATGCTCTCGTGCATGCGGTTCTGGGGGCAGGACAGCGCGGTCAGCACCCGCCACTGCTCCCCACCCCCACGCCCCCCTCAGCGGCCTCTCGGCCTCTCACCATCTCCTCGTCCTCAGCTAGCACCAGGTCATAGGCGCTCAAGGCTACGCAGAAGATGATGGCTGTGACACCCTCAAAGCAGTGGATCCACTTCTTCCGCTCAGACCGCTGACCGCCCACATCAAACATCCTGCGGACACAGGGTTGCCTTAGCTCCAGAAAAGGCAGTTCCGAGAGACGGTCCCCATTTCACAAGTTGGCTGACTGAGGACAGAGGCCTGCTCAGAGTGGGGCAGCTGTCTTCATGGAATCATTCACACTTGTCCACCTTACTCAAGGTTCTGGGTCAGAGCATGTCTGCATAGTGGGGTCAGGGCTGGTCAGCAGGGCAGGCTGCAGCCACATGGGGCAGGGGCAGCAGAGGATGTGAGCCACTGGCAACCATACAGCCTTGAGAAACCTCAGAGCAGGGAATCCTGGGGAATCCTGGACCAGCCCCTCCCTCCCAATACAGCCATTAGCAGGCCTTGAAGTAAGGGTCCCTCCGTCTGTCGCCCCAAAGGCTAGCAAGTCCTGCCCTTCCACCCTGCCCACATGCTGGCTCACTTGAAGTGTAGGTCCTTGAAGGTGAAGTGTGTCTCCACGATGCCCGTGGTTTTCACACGGGTCCGTAGCACGTCCTGCTGTGTGGGGATGTAGTCGCTCTGCGCGATGCGCTCCAGGTCATTCAGGTAGCTAGATGTGGGGGCAGGCAGGTCAGTGGGGGCCAGCAGGAGGCCTCCTAACCTGGACCCCGGGCCAGCTGACCCAGGCCCCTATTCCTCCCATCCCCTCATTTCTCAAAGCCCTTGCTTCTTCAACCCTTGCCTTTATGACATTCATTGCTCAGATGAGAAAAACTGGACCAGAAGCCCTTGCCGCCTCCTGCCTGTGGAACAGGCCTGGAGGAGGTGCGGCTGTGACCGGCCAGCCAAGCCCCAGCACCCAGGTCCTAGCCAGGCCTGCCTCAAACAGGATCCAGGCCTGGTAGAGCTGCAAACTGAGGAGGGTGGGAAGGGACAAATTAGTCTTTCAGTGAGGGATTCAGGATGCTAATTGGCACAATTATGGCACCCACTACAGAGCAGCCTGGCATGTCCCTCAATGCGGGGTTGGACAGGTTGGGGCCTGTCAGGCTCAATGGGCTCTTTGCCCAGCGTCCAATAAAATTTGGACTCCTCAGGGGAGAGCATGGGCACCTGTTTGGCAGGAGTCCCAGGGGCTCCTCATTACCAGCTCCCTTGATTAATATCAACACTGCTCCTGTCAGGCCCTGGGACCAGCTCTGTCTGCCTCAATATCCTTGAGGTGCCCTGGGGACTGGGCCCAGGCCTCTGAGCCGCTGCCCAGTGCCGATGTCTCACTTCACTCCTGGCGCAGGGCTGTTGGGGCCAGCAGGAAATGACCTCAGAGACGCAGGGACAGAACAGAAAAACAGGAAGGACCATGAGGGCCCATGACGCATGGGCTGTGACCTGCTTACGGCACCCCGCCACCTACTGAGAACCTCTTGCCCAGAGGCCTCCTGGTGGCTTCCACGCCAGCCTCCACCTTCTCCACAACAGGGTTCACCCCAGGGTCCCACTGACCCACAGCAGCCTTGAAGGATTGCTGTGAAGAGGGGTTGGGGCACTCCTGTTCCCTGTAGTGTTCTAATCCACTCCCCACCCCTAGGTGATCTGGTCACGGCATAAACCTGCCTGGGAGAACAAGACCTGTGTCACTGCTGGATCCCCACCCCCAGAACAGTGCTGGGCACACAGCGGGTGCTTAATGTCTAGGGAATGAAGGAATGGGGAGTAGCCTGGAAGGGACCCATACCTACCCTCCTTGAGTATCCTGGACACTGAGGTGGTAATGGTTGATAGGACCCACCCCTGCCTGCCTCTAGGACCCATAAGATCTGCTGGTGCTGAGCCTCTGTGACCTCTGAGACGGGCATCGCTGAGGTCTGGAGACCCCCACTATGTTTGTTTGTTTGTTTTTTTAATTTTTTTTAAAGTTTATTTATCTTGAGAGACAGAGTAGAAGAGGGAGAGACAGAGAGAGGGAGGGAGAGAATCTCAGGCAGGCTCTGTCTGTCAGGACGGAGCCCGATGCGGGGCTCGAACTCATGAACTGTGAGATCATGACCTGAGCTGAAACCAAGAGTCGGACATTTAGCCAACTGAGCCACCCAGGAGCTCTGGCCCCCACTATGTTTGGCTGCTATTCTGCAACTCCTCTGGGGGGCACTCACAAGGGCATTCAGGACACTGCAAGGAGAGGGAGGCGCTTCATGTGACTGGGGCAGGGCTCAGGGTGCAGGACCAGGCAGGGCCAGCCTCCTATCCACCCTCACCCTGGTCCAGCCCCTCTCTGGGCGGGCTCAGGACTTGGAAGGGCAGCACAGCGGGGGAGAAAGGTGCTGCGAACAGGGGCTGGCTTAAGCAGAGGTGGGAGAGGTGAGGTATGAGCACAGGGGCAGCCGCCTATCTGCCTATTTGGCGCAGTCCAAAAAGCCTGGGCACATCTCCTGCAGCCATCAGCACTGGCCACCAACCTGTCCTGTTCTCCATGGGTGCTCAGCCCTCTGCATCAGGCCTGGCATACGGTAGGTAGTTCAGGGAAGGAGTTCAGAGAATGACCCCATAGGCTGGGCCTCTGGAACTCCCAGAACCCCCTGTGATTCCCCAGCCAAGTCTTAGGCTCTAACTTAAACACATATCTGTCACCTCCTGGTCTCTTCCTCTTGTATCTTCCTCTCCAACCAGTCTGAACATCTTCTGGGACCTCCGGCACAGCCAGCACTACTCACTTCCAGGCCTGTGCACATGTGCCCCTGCCTAGGAGATTTTCCTGTTCCTCCTCTGCCTATTTCTTGTTCAGAACTCAGCTGAGGCAGTCCCTGCTCTAGACCTACCCCCACTCCCACCATAACACTGACACTGTAGGTTGTCGCTACTTGGGGATGTGTCTACTCCATCATCGCTGGGTCCCTCAAGCTTTGCACAGGGCCTGGCACAGGAGGCAGCAAATGTTCTTTAGAATGATTGCATCTAGGGGCACCTGGGTGGCTCAGTCAGTTAAGTATCAGACTCTTGATTTCGGCTCAGGTCATGACCTCACGGTTCATGAGTTCAACTCCTGCATTGGGCTCCATACTGACAGTACGGAGCCTGCTTGAGATTCACTCTCTCTCCCTCTCCCTCTGCCCCTCCCCTGCTCGTGCATGTTCCCTCCAAATAAATAAACAAACAAACAAATTAAAAAAAAAAATTTAAAAATACAATGATTGTGTCTAAGGACAGATCAGACTCCAGTTGGCCCTGGAGGGACAGCAGCCCTGCCTGTCCTTCCTCCTGACTTTCAATACCATGCCCCCCACCTCAAAGCAAAAATCACCAAGGCCTTGGTTGACAGTCACCAGCTTCATAAGCAGAGACTGGCAGTGTCTTTCTGAGAATGCTCAGGCCCTCCATTCTAGGCTGTGGTCCAGAGCCCCCCTCACCCCACCCGGCTCCTTGGGGTACTCACTAGGCAGCGGAGTCGTTGAGCTGGTACTCCCGAGAGCGGCCAAAGCAAGCCTGCACACCGTGGTCAGCCCAGAGCCTCCGGATGACACCAGACAGATCCTCAGGGAGCACGCCTTGCTCCTCAGCAGTACAGGAGAGTGCAAACAGCTGCCTGGCATCATCCTGGGCGCAGTGTTGAGGTGTCAGCCAGTCACAGGAGTTCACCCCCACCCCACCTGACAGGGGCCTCCAGAATGGGGCCCAGGCTTGGGTATTTCTAGGTTCCCCAGGACAAGGCTTGCCCTGAAGCCTTTAGGGAAGCAGGCAGGGGTTGAGGAGAGGACATACCGCTCGGGAGGGGTCCGCAAAGTCAATCTGCAGATTGCCCATGGCTTTGACAATGGCCATGATGGACTGGATGGTGTTGCTGTAGACGACCGCCCGGTACTGCCGGCACTCCTCCTCGGAATAGCCATCCTCATGGATGATCCTGGCAGCCAGGGGTCAGGAGTTAGGGCCCCTAGGGCACGAGGACCATACATGGCCTCCTGGGGCTGCTGAAGCCTGCAGGGACCTATTACAGAGAGAAGGAAACTTCCCCCGACCCTCTGGGACCTGAGGATGGGTGATTGCCTCCAACAAGGTCCTGGGCTTGGCTAAGACTGGCTGGGCCACTACTTGGTTGGGGTGGGGGGGGGGGTGTGTGCAACACAGACCCAGAGAAAGAAGAGGGGAAATCAGGGTTTGGTGGCTGTCTCTTGCACATAGCACTTACTTCATCTGCTTGACAATGGTGCTCTTCCCTGACTCCCCAGCACCTAGAACAGAGGGCACAGGCTGTCAGGGAGCAGCCCCGGTGGGGCTACATGTGGCCCAGCCACTGGCAGCCCCAGAGGCAGAACCCACCCTCCCCCATCAACTGCACAGGGAGATGGAGGCAGTTGGGCCTGGGAGGCAGCAAAACTACAAGGGTGCAGCTGGCAGGGCCACAGTGGTCAAGACCCCAGGCCTTTGCTTCCCCCAAGCTTCACTGCCCACCACATTACCCCCCTCAACAGCAGAATGAGCTCAGGGGCTTTGGTTGGAGACAAGCCCTCAGAAGTCTCCTTGTCATTCTCATGCAAGCAGGCTCGCCAACATGGTGCCAGGGCACAGCTGGCAGGAAGGAGCCCTGCACACTCTAGCAGGGGAGCATTCCCTCTTCTCCCCACACTCTGAGCCACCAAGGGGCCTGGGCTAGGACAGTGTCATAGTCCTGCCTCCTAGGCATGGCCCAAGTCTACCCTGAGCAGATGGAGACCAGGACTTGGGAGACACGCAGCATGACTGACACACACACACTCATACACACATACCCTTGGACTGACTCAACATGCTTCCAAGCCTGCCAGAGGCCCATTCTATATTCTCCTTGGCCAATACTGAGGGATTTGCTGGTACTCTTTCCCATGGCTGTCACAGCAGCCCTACAAACATACTACTTCTGCTTCCATTTTACAGACAAGGACACCGAGGCTCACAAAGGTAGTCTTGGCCCAAGATTTTGCAGCCAGGGGGCCCCTGGGTGGTTCAGTTGGTTAAGTGTCTTCATCTCAGGTCATGATCTCATGGTTTGGGGTTCAGACCCTCCATCGGGCTCTCTGCTGTCAGTGCAGAGCCCACTTCGGATCCTCTGTCTCCCTCTCTCTCTGACCCTCCCCCATTTGTTCTCTCTCAAAAATTAACAAACA